AAGGCTCAGAACACTTGCCAGGGATTTCCGAGCCTCCTGAAAAGGCCTTCTCCTTCTCTTCCCCCCCCCTCCCCCGGGCTCGGTCAGGGGGCCACACGCGAACCTTGCCCCTGCCCCCCACCATCTCGGAGGGGGAGGGTGGGGCTCTCTTCGCTCGGGAGCTCTCGAACGAAGTGCACCCCACCCTCCCCGTCAGGAGTCGTGGGGGGCATGGGTGGGGTTCGCATGCGGCCCCCTAATCAGGCTGATCACAAGCTTCGGCTCGGCGGCGCCAACCATGCTGGGGCGAAGTCGGCCATAGCGAGCAGCCACGACCAGAAACAGCCAAAGCGTGCAGAACGTCTCTGACCTCGATCCCCAAACGACGACGACGATTCAAGCATGTGGCCCCCGACGAGGAGGCGGAGGGAGTGGAAGTGGAAGGAGGAGGAGGAGGAGGAGGAGGCGAAGGAGGAGGAGGAGGATGAGGAGGAGGAGGGGGAGGAGGAGGGTTCGCATGTGGCCCCCGATCGCTGGCGATATGAAGCACGTAGTCGCTGCCCCGGCCAGCAGCCCAGGATATGCCGACTCAGTGGTGGTGGGTCGGGCCTGGCCCCGGGGAGGCCGGGAGGAAGGCCGCCAAGGTGTTTTCAGGATGGGAAAAACACACAAACACAATTAATCGTCGATTCCCAGGAAAAAATATGGGGAATATTTTATTTGTGTGTATTTATTTGTGTGTCCCAGGGCCCCTTCATGTTAGCAGGCCCAGAGATCCAACGCATCGACAAAAAATCAACACGGAGGTTCCTCTCAATTTTCGGCCTCCAGGGGCCCTCGCCGGGCCCTGGGACCGTCTGGGACCGTCAAAAAGCGACTCGGGATGAGAGAGCGATCCTGGGGAATGGGTCGAGACTTCCGGGGACCGAGTATTGACAAAATCACGACGTCGGATCTCTGGGGGGTGCTGAAGTTTTAGACGTTTTAGCACAACAGTGCCATCAATTCGGGCCGGACGAAAGGGGGGGACTGGGAAAGGGGGGGTACGACATCTGCTGCATGCAGCTGGTTTCAGCCCCACCGAGGGGCCCATTCCTCGATACATGGCAGCCTCCAGCGCCGGGAGGCGCCGGGAAAATCAGCTGCGTGAGCTGATTCTCAAACCCCCCCTTTGCTATCCCCCCCCTTTCGCCCGGCCTGATTAACATTCTGGACGAGTCGCGTATCCTCACCAGCCCATCCAGAAACGATGCCCAGGAGCATGCGGTGGAATCGAGGGACGGGATGGGGGAGGGCCAGTTGAGAAAACGGCGGCCGTCCTTTGAGCGTTTCGTGGCTTGGTTTGCCTCCTGGGCGCTTCGCGTCGTTACGGTTGGACCCGCGCCGAAGAGAAAGGATCAGGACAGACCCCAGGAGTGGTCCTGGGATGGATTTTGAGTGGGATTGGGCCATGTGGTAGGTCCCCCTTGTCTCAATGTGCCCTTCTTCGGATGAGGAGGATAAGCAGGACGACTGGTTACTCGCCTATCGCCAACAAGGCGAAGCAGCCGGAGACGACCCCGTCTGGGGCTCCTCTTGCGCCGCTCGTGCATCTGGATGCCGTGGTCTCCGTCAGGCCAGGCCTCCCACTCGTGAACGGGATTTCCCAGGAGGGAAAGGAGGAGGAGGAGGAGGAGGAGGAGGAGGAGGAGGAGGAAACGGCGGAGGAGGACTACGACGGGGGATGGACGGCGAGCGAGGTGGAGCGTGGCCCGTCCCCCATCCCACCGCCGAGCTCGTGATCGCCGTGCGCCGCCTGCACCCTGCAAGAGGGAACTGACCGATGCCACGTGTGTGTGTGTGTGTGTGCGTGTGCGTGTGTGTGTGTGTGTGTGTGTGTGTGTGTGTGTGTGTGTATGTGTGTATGTGTTCAGGAGGGAGAAAACACACAGTCACAAGCAATCGTTGATTCCCCAGAAAATATTGGGAACATGTGGGAAGTGGGGGGGAAGAGTGAAACCCAGAACATATGGGAAGCTATGGGGGATCTTTTTATTTGTGTGTATTCTCTCTCTGTGTGTGTGTGTGTGTCCTGGGGCCTCTTAACAGTGGCCAGCCCAAGCACATGGCAGGCGGAGGAAGGGTTCGAGAGGGATAGGGGGGGGCGGGTCAGATCCAAATCGGTGGCAATCAGGCTCGAGCAGGAGATCGACAACATACTTGATTTGTCAAGGATTCTGCGGAGCATGCCCCGGATTGTCGTGGGTCTACGAACATCCAACGTATTTGCTGGTATTTTCCACGAGCAAGCAGTGGCGGGGTAGATCAATTCTGCAGTCGATCTCCTACTCGGAAGGCGCGCGTGGGAACGAACGGCGCAGACTTGGAGGGTCACTGCCGGTGTCGCGGCGGAGGCCACAGACGATATCGCGAGTGCCGACGGCGGCGGTGACAGCGATTGCCCCGACGATGTGCAGATGCCTGCGGCAAGTCTCGCCATCGGGTCTGGACCCAGACGCTGTTCTGCTGGACTTCGGCTGTGCTTTGTGCTCCGTTTTGGCAGGGAGGCACAGGAGAACAGGCAGGGCAGACCGAACAACAAAACGGAGGAGGGGGAGGGAGGAGGGAGGAGGGAGGAGGGACGACGACGACGACGACGACAACGACGACGACGACGCACAACGCTTCGGTGCAACCCTGCTCGCCACCGACCTGGCCGGGCGTTCCTGGGCGGCGGCCGTGCGGCGGGGGGGGGCGCCGGAGGCCCTGCCCCCGTGGCACCTCGCGCCCCGCTGCGGCGGGAGAGCCGTGTGCCGCCGGGCCGAGGCATGTAATTGGTCGAGGCGGGAGCCCCGAGGCGGGGGTCAATGCAAACGGGGGTCAGTCAGAGGCTCTGGCCAGAGGAGGAGGAGCGCAGCGCCTCAGGAAGGTCCCCCGCCGCGCACGCGGGCGCGCGACGGACTACCCCCTGGCGCCGCCTATTCACGGTACAGTGCGGTAAGAGCAGGAGGCAATGTAGTAGGAGAGCAGCTGGAAGAAATCGCCATCAAGGCCGTGGACGCAGGCCAAGTTGCCGAGGAGGAGGAGGAAGAGGAAGAGGAAGAGGAGGGATGCTGATGATGACGATGATGGTGATGCTGATGATGATGATGATGATGATGATGATGATGATGATGATGATGATGATGGTGGCGATGATGATGGTGCTGATGATGATGATGGCGATGATGATGACGATGATGATGGTAATGATGTTGATGATGATGATGGTGTTGATGATGAGGATGATGATGATGATGATGGTGGTGGTGGTGGTGGTGATGATTGATTATTCCAGATTCTTCCAGATTCTTCCGAATTGTTGCAGTTTCTTCCCGATTCTTCCAAATTCTCCCACACGCCATCAGGTTCTCGCAGATTTCTGCGGATCGTCCGACAAGCGCCCAAGCGTCGAGCGCCGGCAAAATCTTAATGAAGAGCGCCCAATCTTGCAGGATCTTGCAGGGCCAGGGTCGCATTGACCTGGGCTCGGGTGCAGGATCCTGCCGGATCGTGCAGGATCCTGCGCACGGACCCGGGCTAAGGAACAGGATCTTGCAGGTTCTTGCAGGCTTCTGCAACGCATGAGTGCTTCGGGTTTGGATATACCCGGGTCAGAAGATGTCCGATCGAAGTGGGTTTTCGGGGAGGGTGCCTCCGTTTTTCTCGCGTTTGTGGGATGCTTATGTGTGTCCTGGGGGGGACAGGTCCCGTTTCGATTCCTCCGGTTCGATTCGACTCGACTTTGACGGCGTCCGATTCCGACCCGACTCGTTTTCGGATTCCGATTTGGGCCCCGACTTTTCAATGGAGGCTTACTAGCCTGCCGATTTCTGCCGATTCGTTTTGTTTCGGCTCGGCTGCCGATTTCTTCCGATCCGATTCACTTCGATTGCCGATCCGACTTATCGATTCGATTCTGGACTCTCTTGGGGGGAGTACCCTTGGATGCTGTGTGTGTGTGTGCGTGCGTGCGTGCGTGCGTGCGTGCGTTTGCGTGTGCCTGTGCGTGCGCGTGCGCGTATGCGTGAGCGTGTGCGTGTGCGTGTGTGTGTGTGTGTGTGTGTGTGTGTGTGTGTTTGGCCGGCGGAGGGTTGTCATGCTCTTGAACGATGTTTTTCTGGCCTCGGTCCGGCTGTCGGTCTCGGGCGTTCTCTCTTCGTGCTCGTGTTGTTCCTCCCTTTCCCGTAGGATTTCTTTGGGGTCCTTCCTGGCGGTCTTGGGGGACCATGTTGGCCGTGAGGGGCCGTCGTTGGGCCCTCTGGAGCCGTTCTGTGGCTCTCTGAGTCCCCCTGGGGTGTCCCTTGCGGCCGTCATTGGGCCGTCGTTGGGCCATCTTGGGTCATCAGGGCCTTTTGGGCCAGCTTAAGGCTCCCTTGGGGCCGCCTGCGGACCTTCTTGGGCTGTCTTGAGGCCGCTTGAGGTGAGTGTTCGACAGCTTGGGGGCCGTCTTCGGCCGTTTCGGGGCCATCTTGATGGCCTCCGGGGCGATTCAGAGCTGACGGACCAGCAAAGGTGAATCCATCAAGAGTTCTCTACACGCGCAGCAAATCATTACTTTTGGCCTCTTGGGGCCACGTCTTGGTGGCTATTTGGCCGTCTTGGCGACCTTGGTTGCCTGCCTGCCGCGGCTGTCTTGGTATCACGGAAGCGCGGGCCCATATCTTTGGATAAGGGATCGTGGCCTCGGGAGCGCACGCCAGTGTTTGTTACAAAGGATCGTAGTTTCGGGAACGCGAATCCATGTTTTACCAGGGATCGTTGCCTCTTGTGCGCGGTGCCATCGATTTTTGTTTGAGATTGTGACTTCGTGAGTGCGGATCCGTAGTTTCAGATCGTCTTCGTGGCCAAGAGTTGGGACCAATGCTTGTCAGGCGAGAGGGTGGGTGGTGCACGCAGCGGGGTGCGTCGAGAGGTTGGTGTTGTTGGCCGTCTGTTGATTGCAGAAACACTGCCAGGCAGCACTTGGCCTTCTGCCACGCCTCAGCGCGCCAGTGCGCACGATGGCGGATGGCCGAGCAGAGTCCACATTCCCGCGCTTCCTGCTCTTTCTCCTGCTGGCTGGCGCTGCCTATCGCGTGCGCATGGTCGTTGTCCGCAGTCGTTCCTGGTTCAAGCGCCAGCGCAGCCTAGCTACACGTTTACACACCGCCCTTACTTCCTCTGCAGCGATGCGGGCGGCCCTTACCCTACTCGCACTGGCGCCCGCCGCCTCTGCCCTGTCGCTCCACAGAGCGGAGGTGGATGCCGAGGACACGCTGTTCGCCCTGTCGTCTGCGGGCGCCTCACAGCAAGTGGGAGCTGAGGATCGGGGGCAGCGCTGGAGGGGATGGGCTCTGGGGGGAACGCATCGGCCCCCCACCGCCCATTCGTCGTCGACAGGGGCGCGAGAGCCCACCCCGCCCCGGAGGGTTCGGTGTCGCTGTCGGGGGCCCATCGCCGATCTGTCGGCGATGCGTCGCTGATTCCAGGGCGATGCCCCCCCACTGAGCCAGCCCCCCCCCATCGCTGCGCCTCAGAGGAGCGGGCCGGAGATACGCTCTTCGCCCTGTCGTCCGAGTCCGAGGCCCAGCAGGCCGGGCAGCAGGCCGAGGACGAGTACAACTCCGTGAGCAGCCTCCTCTCCGAGGCGGAGGCCTCGGTCGGGCAGCGGCGCGAGAAAGCCCGCCGGACAGCGAGAGCGGGCCTCCTCCCCCTCGCCTCCCACACCGTCCCTCTGCCCTCCTTCTCCTCCTCCTCCTCCTCCTCCTCCTCCTCCTCCTCCTCTTCCTCCTACTCCTACTCCTGCTCCTGCTCCTCCTCCTCCTCCTCCTCCGCCTGCTCCTCTCCCTCAGCGTCTCTCCGCCCTTTTTGGTCCCTCCCCCCGCCCAGGGGCGGGGACCTTCTGGCTCCTCGTGGCGAGCAGAGAGCGCCGCGCCCCCCCCCGGGGCAGTCCCGGCTGGCCGCTCCGCAGGCCCCCCGAGTGGCCCACGGGCCGGGCGGGGTCAGCCCCCTGGCGCCGGCTCCAGTCTCTGGACGCCCGAAATGGTCGGGGGTGGACAGAACCCCCAACAGTGACACGTCGATTAGTGAATTGTCCGTTTTCGGGTCTCGAGAGGGCGCCGTGGCCGTTATTTTCCAGGCTTGCGCCCGCCAGGTTTGGGCCTCAGGTCGTTTTCACTAAACCACGTTTTACTAAAGGGGGGTCTGTCCATCCCCGAAATGGGCACGGAAAGAATGGGTATAATGCCCAACAGCAATTCCTGTTCCTTCTGAACAGGACTCGCTGTCCCAGCCGCCGCGGCCTGTGTCCATTCGAGACAGGAGGCCGCGCGCCCGACAGCGGCCGCTGTCGGTCTGGGACAGCATCTGTTGGTGGGCATTGCACCCATTCTTTCGGTACCCATTTCGGGCGTCCAAACAGTCGGCGCCCCAGGTTGGGGGTGCTGGGGCTTCCCGGTCATCGGGGGGGCCTGTTGAGGCCAGCCTGGGCTACCCTGGGCGGGGGGGTCTGTGTGCATCCCGAAGAGCCTCGCCACCTCTTCCATTCCCCCCCCCCCTCCCCTTCCCTCCTCCCCAGGGGTGGGGACGATCTCGGCATCCTTGTGGTGTTGGATCCCTCGAGAGGCGCTTCCCCCCTCCTCCAAGGGGTGGGGACGATCTCGGCATCCTTGTGGTGTTGGGATCCCCCGAGAGGCGCTTCTGCAGGAGGAGGTGGCGAGCGACCGGGAGGCGGCCGAGGAAGAGATGCGCTCCGCTTCGCGGGGGACACGGCCAGGCGAGCCTTCCATCCAGTGGTTCGGCGTGTGGAAGCGCGTCGGATACATCGGATGAGGAATTGCCGAGAATGAATCATAATCCTAGCCATAACTGTGAAGAACTCGGCGCGAACGTCTTGACTCGGCGCTGGACCCCTCCCCCGGCGCGCGGAGCGCGCCAGGGGCGACGCCGGAAGCGCCGCCAGGGAGGTATCCGTCCGCGCGCACTACTTGTGTGAAGCGTACCGCGTTGATGTCTCCCGAGGCGGCGTCGCTCCTCACCCCGGGAGTGGTGCAGTGCACATCACCAGCCTCGAACTTATCCCTATCCCTGAGATTGACACGCCAAAAGGCGATGCACCCTCAGAAACTGAGGGAATCCCTAAGATTGCCATCGTGATGAGGCGATGCCGAACATAGGGATAGGGATCTGCTCCAGGCTGGTAAGCGCAGTGTGTTGGCCCCCAGGGCCGGAAGCACTGTGCACCACACCGCGCGGAAGCGGGGCCCGAGGGAAGTCCAAAAACATGGGATGGAGCACGGGTGCCTTTCTCGCAAGCCTCGGAATTTTCGGCCTCCGATCCTCGTCCTCCGAAGGCCCTCGCACGCCCCGGTGAGCCCCACAGGGGGGGACCGCCGCATCGCGCTCCTGCAGGAGGTCGACGCCGACGAGAAGGTGGCCGAGGCTGGCCAGCCACAAGCGGGGGAGCTATGATCCTTACCCCTTGGGGGACCCGTCGGTTTCGACGCCTCTCTCTCTCTCTCTCCCTCTCTCTCTCTCTCTCTCTCTCTCTCGAGAGAGAGAGAGAGAGAGAGAGAGAGAGAGAAAAAAGAGAGAGAGAGAGAGAGAAAACAAAAGAGAGAGAGAGAGAGAGAGAGGGAGAGATAGAGATAAGAGATATCGCGTTCCGCGGACGCTGGGGGGAATGCTGTGGGGGCGCTCAATGTTTTGGGAGGCCCCCCCCCCCCCTGGCGTGTCACGGTGTTTTTTTCCAGGCAAGCGCCCACGACGCGCGTCCTCTCGCGAGGTCAGCCCCGGAGCCGGAGGCCTGGTATGGACGGCGTGCCTTCGCCGAGGGAAGACCATCCCGATCTCAGGGACGGTGGTCATACACAGACTTCCTGGGTGGCCGAAATATTATCGCTGGGTAGTCGAAGGCCAGACTGTCAGATTGGATTGGGCCCCAAGGGCCAATCTGGCCCGGCCAAACTGGAGGATTGGGGTTATTCGCCAGACTGGATTCGCGTTGGCTCCCTCGTCAGATTGCCCCCGTTTGCCAGACTGGGCCTGCCAGATTGGCGCCAGATTGGCTTCGACTACCCAGTATCGCCAGCGCCAGCATCCAGGATCCTCCCCCCCCTACTGGAAGCAGCTCCCAGCTTCCTGCCTTGGTGGTGGGGCTCATCCTCTGGGCCTCCAGCAGAGATCAGCTGTGCGCACATCTTCTCTCCCGCGGGGCCTCTGGAAGGCTCGACCCACTTACGGTCCTGGGGGCCGGCCCGGGGCCCGGCGCGGGCCCCCACCCTAGCTCCGGATCCGCCCTACTTTGGGGAAACTCGTAAGTAGGGCTTGGCATTTCCGCCTTGGAGCCTGTTTTTTTTGGATTCAGGCAAGTTTACTTGCATGGCGTTCGCCCCCCCCCCCCCCCCTTCGCCCCTCTTCAAGCGAATACTAGCGTGCAAGTGCCTTTCGACTTGCGTGATTTCCGCGCCCCCCGAACGTGCAAGTCGTTTGCGGCTTGCTTCAGGCTCAGCCCCTCCCCCCCCGTCCATGCAAGTAAACTTGCCAGAGTATAAAAAAAAGCAGGCTCTCACTTTTCAAGCCCCGCTGATGCTAATGTCCGCCATACTTTTCTCTTGCTTTTTCCGCCCTACTTCTGGATTTCCGCCCTATTTTATGTTGGGTGCAGAATTTCCGCCCTGCTGTTTCGGCTTCTGATAGGTGGATTTCCGACGCAATTTTAAGTTGGACAAAAGCCAAAGTAGGGCGGATCTGGACTCAGGGCAGAGGCCGAATCGGCAGCCTTGAGACAGGGGTCAACGCAAACGGGTGTCAGTCAGAGCGCCAGGTCTTGCAGGATCTTGCAGGGCCAGGGGTGCACTGACCAGGGCATGCGTGAAGGATCCTGCAGGATCCTGCAGGATCTTGCAGGGGATCCTGCAAGGCTCGACTGACCTGGGTCTGGGTTGACCCTTGTCAGCAGGTCCGCGACCGAAAACGGCGAACAACATGTGCTTTCATGCTTTCAGTGCTTTCTCTGGGGGGCTCAGCCTATTTCCTGATGGTCTGTGGGTCATATGCCTCGGCTCTCCGGCGGCCGTTCGGGACAATCTCTGGACCCCCCCGTAAGTCACGCCTTCGGCGAGGCGCAGCGGCTGGAAGGCACCCCGAAGTTGGAACACCGACGAGAACCTACTGCAACGTCTGCAAACCCCGAGCCTCGAACCCGATTCTCGACACTCGCCTGGAATGGTCCGATGGGTCCTTCAGGTGACAGAGAGAGAGAGAGAGAGGAGAAAGAGAGAGAGAGAGAGAGAGAGAAAGAAGGAAGGAGAGAGGGATATATATATATATAGAGAGAGAGAGAGAGAGAGAGAGAGAGACAGAGAAGAGAGAGAGAGGATAGAGAGAGAGGGGGGGAAGCAGAGAGGGAGAAAGAGAGAGGGAGAGAAAGAGGGAGAGAGAGAGAGAGACAGAGAGAGAGAGAGAGAGGGACAGGCAACCCGAGGGAGGCTCGAGACGGCCCCGGGGTAACCAGCAAACGCAGAGCGCCTCAGGCTGGCCCCGGGGGTGTCCACAGCAGGGCCCCCCTCGCAGCCGCTCCCCCCGCCGGTGGCCGGGGCGGCCGAGGAGGAGCTCGAGGCGGACGCCGACCCCGAGGGCACCGCGGCGCCCGAGGCGCCCGCGGCGGAGGTCGCTCCGGCCGCCGAGGCCGCCCCGGCCGCCGAGGCCGCCCCGGCAGCCGAGGATTTGGGGGTCGGGGGCAATTGGGCTTCAGTCGGGCCTGTCCTTCTAGAGGAGGAGTGTTCAAAAATGGTCCAACAATACTCCAGATTTCGGAATAAAAGGGAGGGGGTCTCATTTCGGGTGGGGGTCTGTTCCAAGCTATCTTAGAGGGCCTGGGGGGGTCTGGGGACGATGTTTTGGAGGGTTCTCCCACGGGGGGGGGGTCCGAAATGGCTTGTCTTGGAGGGTCCAGACCCCCTCCCTTTTATTACGAGATCTGGAGTACTTCTTGACTCGTTGAGCTTCTTCCTCGAAGATCAGCCTGTAGAGGGACAGGCCCGACCTAACACTTAGATTCGGTCGGGCATGTCCCCCTGCAGGCGGATTTGGGACGAAAACTAAAACCCTAAACATATTATTCTAAAATTCAAACCCTTAACAGAAACCCCTAATCTGGACAACGGTCAAACAACATCGTCCCCATTCAATTTTGTTGACTGTTTTTGAACATTCCTCCTGCAGAGGGACATGCCCGTCTTAAAACTGGACTGGACTGGAACTCTTCGGGGATCCAACAACTCATCCCGAGGACCAGAGGAGCAGAAGGTACCCATACCTCTGCCCTTCCCTCGTTTTCCCAATGTTTGGGCCTCATGGAAGGCTCTCGTCGCCACCGCTGGACCCGCCTCGGAATTCGGGTCAGCACGCACCCCGGGAGAGGTCCGGGGAGTAGCCGCATCGGTACCCTTTGGTTTTCCCATCTGTGGGAATCCAATTGATCCCATAGACACATTAACGGCGATGCAGGCAACGGATATTTAGGTGTTTCGGTGCTGTAGGTGGGGGTTGTTCGTGGCCAGCCCAATCGCAGGAAAGGCTCGCTCGCGTGTTCCTACCGTTTGTTCTGCGCGAGTTCGCTGTCGCAGAACACATTTTCCCGACATCGACGTTACAGTCAACCCGCATTGGAAGGATGGGCAACCGTTCCAAGGGTGCGCTTGCATCCGTGCCTCCTCGGTCCATCCTTGACCACTTTCGTTGGCCGCGCCCCGCTCGAGGAGCTTCGAAATGGGCGCCCAAGGCCCTTGCATCCTTACCGCGCATCTCTGCTGCACGGGTTGACTGTAACCAACGCCGCCGCTGCCCTTAGCATGGCCTTGGCGATCACTCGACCAACCCAGCCTGACTTCGCAAGCAGCGCTACCGAGTCTGGGTAGTCGAAAGCCAGACTGTCAGATTGGATTGGGCCCCAAGGGCCAATCTGGCCTGGCCAAACTGGAGGATTGGGGTTATTCGCCAGACTGGATTCGCGTTGGCTCCCTCGTCAGATTGCCCCCGTTTGCCAGATTGGGCCTGCCAGATTGGCGCCAGATTGGCTTCGACTACCCAGCGAGTGTTCTCAGGGATTCGGAAACGCACTGCACGCATGCCGCTGCGCCGACACCCTGCCCCGCGCCGCCCCTCCGCAGCACAGCACCGGCCCCGGCCGCGCACCGGCGCGCGGGCAGGCAGCCCCGCGCGCCAGTGCGCGGGGCTGCCTGACTGATATATATATATATAAATATAAATATATATATATGTATATATATAATACCTATCAGCGAAGACTGATAGGTTTCTAGTAGGGTCAAAAGAGAGCATCATGACTCCCCAGGGGGGTCTGGGCGGCATCCGGGGGAAAGCCGGCGGCTGCCGTCGGAGACCAAATCGCCTGGGACATCCTCGCAAAATCGCTCTTGGCGGTCCCAGAACTCCACTCCCGGGCTACATTTTGGATGCCCGGCGCCAACTGTGCTCCCAGAACTCCACTCCTGGCCCACATTTTGTATGCCAGGAGCCAACTGTAGGCCACTTCGTGCTCTCCGAGCCACATTTGGATGCCCGGAGTCAACTGTAGGCCACTTCGTGTTCTAGGACTGCTTAGAACCCCATTCCCGGGCTTTTATTTTGGATGCCCGGAGCCCACTGTAGGTCAATACCTAACAGCGAAGACTGATCGGTGTCAAAATAGGGTCAAAAGAGAGCATCTGATGACTCCCCAGGGGGGTCTGGGCGGGAGCCGGACAGGCGAGAACCGGGCTCGTTTTAAGTAAACAGTCACACGCTTCGTGCTCTTCGACCTCCCAGAACTCCATTCCCGGGCCACATTTTGAATGCCCCGAGCCAGCTGTAGGCCACTTCGTGCTCTTCGACTTCCCAGAACTCCATTCCCGGGCCACATTTTGGATGCCCGGAGCCAACTGTAGGCCACTTCGTGCTCTTCGACTTCCCAGAACTCCATTCCCGGGCCACATTTTGGATGCCCGGAGCCATTTGTAGGCCACTTCGTGGTTTTGGATTTCCCAGAAAACCGCTCCCGGGCCACATTTTGAATGCCCGGAGCCCACTGTAGGCCACTTCGTGCTCTTCCACTTCCCAGAACTTTACTTCCGGGGCACATTTTGAATGCCCGAAACCAACTGTAGTGTCTTGTTTAGACCTCAGTGCATTTATACAAAGATCTCTTTTGGAGATACCGTTATAAAAAGCAGTGTTTCTACTGCTACTACCACTGCTCCCATCACTCCTACTCGTTCACTCCACACACTACAACTACTACTTCACTGTTACCACTACTACCATCACTACTACGTCTACTGCTACTACTACTGTTACTATTACTGCTGCTGCTGCTGTTGCTGCTGCTCGTGTAGCTATGGCTACTGCAACTACTGGCAGTGCCACTGCGATTGCCGCTGATGTTGCCACTGCGACTGCCACTGCGAATCCGAATGCGACTTCGAGAACACCAGAATTCTACAACAGCACTCTCACATGAATACCACAGGCAGTGTTTCCAGCTATGCTTCTACACATCGCTGTTAGGTTGCTTTGCCGGGATATTTTTTATATATTATATATTTTTATAAACAAACGCACAAAAACCCGAATCCACAGTTTCGGCGAACCTTGGAAAATGGGGCGACCACGGGCGGCCATGGGGGTTGTGACATCGCCCGAAAGAGAGACTGAGCCATAAATTCTTGCGGTGCATCCATTCATCCTTGACGCTTCGCGTATCCCCACCAGCCCCAGCTCCCTGGCAGCCGCAGCCTGCACACCCCCACCCCCCGGCCCTATCCGCCGTGGTGATGCTTGAGGCCCCGCCGGCTTTAGGTAATTCGTCTTTGCGCGGCCCGCTCTGACTCGACTCGCCGTTTACGCTTTCGTTTACGGCTGCTGACTTAAAAGTATCCCCACCAGCCCATCCAGGAACGATCAGCAGGGGAGTTGGTGAATCAGGGGCGGCAGCACGCATGCAGTCGCGCAGCCGTCTTCGGGAAAATAAGGATCACACATAGCTTCCCGCATTGAAGTTTAAGATGGGAATCGGTGCAAGCTACGATGGTGCTTCGATGGGGGGTGAGGGGTGCTTTCGATGACTCGTAATGGCTGGGGCGACCAGGGGCGACCAGGGGCTGTGACATCACCCGAAAAAGGAGACAGAGCCAGACATTGTGGGGTACATCCATTAATTCTGCAGGTGCAGAGGGCCCCCCTTCCCACCCCGCGACGCGTCCGCGACTGCCCTGGCGCTCCCCCGGGACTTCTGCAGCTCTTCGGATGCCCAGAGAACAGTGAGGAGGAGGACGACGAGGAGGAGGAGGAGGAGGACGAGGGACTACAACATACATCTACACGTGCTATTGCACTGAGGACGTGCAAGCGGTGCGGTGCAGCCGACCTGGTGCAAGCTATCTTGGCGCAGTCTGGTCGGCGCCAGCCATGCAGTGTAAGCTACATGGTGCAGACTAGGAGGTGTTGATGCCACTCGTTGAGTTTTCGTGTCGTTTTAAAGATCTACGTGTATTCAGCGTTTTGGAATTCGTTGTCCTACGTTTTCAGATTTTGGATCGCTCTCTGGCTTACTTCCTCGTCAATTTTCAGTTGTCATTGCTGTTGCAATCTGTTCTTGCGGCATCGTTCGGATTTGCGCACTTTTTTCCTCGGCGAGGACCATCGATGAGAACCTTGGCTCCTTTGCAGACAAATCAGCACACGAAATCGTCAACTGCACGGGGAAGGGACGTCCAGGCGATGGTGAGCTCGAAGATGTCACAAACGTGTCTTTGGCCCCCGCTGTCTCGGGATGGCTGCTGAGGTCTGGGCGGTACAGTTTGTTCATCCGGCGCTTTCGCCAGGTCTCTGTTTCGGTGTTGGACCGAACCCCCAACAGTGACACGTCGATTAGTGAATTGTCCGTTTTCGATTCTCGAGATGGCGCCGTGGCCGTTATTTTCCAGGCTTGCGACCGCCAGGTTTGGGCCTCGGGTCGTTTCCATTAAACCACGTTTTACTAAAGGGGGGTCTGTCCATCCCCGACTGTCCCCGTTACCCTCACCCATCGGTCCGGCTTGAAACATCAAGCAGAAAGATCGGGTTTGCAGGGTCCGGCTTGAATACGGAACACCTATTTTTCAAAAGGGGCTCGGTCGTTCCTGTAGTTTGCACACGTTCCGCTACCTTTTTGGCGGTGGGCCGCGTTCTTCGTAGACTTACTTGGGGAAAGCAAGGGGCTTCCTTCCTTATCGTTTCTTACAGTGGGGGCGCGCATCAAGAAACCATTTGCTTTTCGTCGGGGTACCCTGGGTTTCTTCGCTCCGCGCGCTTCGCGGTGACTTTCCGCAGCCGTTGAAGAAGCTGCTGCGTTCAGGGTGCTCTGGGTTTCCCCTCAGGTGCACTTCGTGCGCGGGTTTTCAGGGTTGGATTTCTTGCGAGGGTTTCTTGCGGCCGCGCCCGCACTGTAGGTCAGGCCGAATACTGTAGTCGGGGGTTGCCAAACGTGCCCCTGGCCCAGTGCTCCCAGCTTCTCGCGCAGTCTTCCCGGGGGCCCTCCCGGTCTCGTGAGGGGTGCTCTGGAGGCCGTGGGGGGCGCCACCGGAAGTCACGGGGGCGCCTTGGGCCAGGGGCACTTCTAGCATTGAGTCGGGCACGTCCCTCTGCAGGAGGGATATTCAAAACTAGTCAAAAATAGTCTGGCGACGATTTTTCTACTATTTTTCATCATGTCTGAGGATTTTTTTATCTTGTTTTTTTGTCCAGAATCTGGCTGTAGGGGACACGCCCGACCTAATTCTAGCAACACCCGACCTCGCGGATCGATCCGGCTCGAAAAATCCACCAGAAAGATCGGAGATTGTTTTTGTTACCCTCTGGCGCGTTACGCTCGTTACCCTGGACCCCCCCCCCCACCAGGTAGCGGTAACGATCGAATCTGGGGCGTCCCGGACCCCCCCCGGCATGCAGGTAGTTGAAGGCATGTTGTGTTGTGAGGTTGGCCAGAGGGACAGGGTTGAAGCTGCATGTGTTTGTTATGTAGATGTGTGTAGAAGGCCCGGGAACTTCCGGGATAGTTATGGGAAGGTTAAAGTTGTGTGTTTTATGTGTGTTTTTTGTTTTATGTCTGATTTGCACGGGATTGAACATCTTCGTTCAGGCAACAGCAACCAGCAACGTTGTGGTTCATTTTAGAGATATGTATTATTTCGTTCCCCAAAGATAAAACCGTCACACATACACAGACATCCGTATAGAAAACATTGCACTATTTCACTTTCGCGTAGTAAGTGGATTGTTCATAATCTGCTGCCTATAATCCTCACTGCGTAATGCCAATTTGTTTGAAGACAACAAATATTGTTTAGCTTTAGCCTATGTTGATGTCAACATACTTCCACCACCGCTGAATCGTTTCAAATTCGTACTAGTTATAGAACTACCACCCCAAATAATGATTGTTTGAGGATGCGAACTGTTCCGAGGTGTTAACACATGTGTCAAACTATTGGCAGCATCGCTATATCACATCGACTCGTATGACACGCATCGGAAGAATATTCGCGTGAATGATTTCTTTGGGTGAGGATTTGTGATGTCACTGCGTACGTTTTTTTTTTGTTTGATGTCTCTTGGTAATAGTTTTTCCCCACATCCTAAGTGGGGTTCTTGTTTTCTCTGCACACCCTCCGCGCAGGATCTCTCGTCCTCCTCCCTCTTCTCTGCTCCTCTTTGCTTCCTCCTCCGCATCATCATCACCATCACCATCACTCCCCACTCATCATCATCATCATCACCATCAGCATCACCATCACCATCGCACGATCACTCACCATCATCGGCATCGAACGATCATCATCATCATCATCATCATCATCATCATCATCATCACTACTCGCTGACTCACCACTTCGTCCCCATCATCATCACCACCATTTACCATCATAATCGCACGATCACTCACCATCAGCACTCATCATCACCACCATCATCATCATCACGTCGTCATCATCACATCACCACCACCATCATCATCATCATCATCATCATCATCATCATCATCATCATCATCATCATCATCATCATCATCATCATCATCATCATCATCATCATCAATCATATATCATCATCAAACACCGTCGTCATCATCCCATCACCATCATCCACCAAGAGGGAGCCTCGTCTGTGAGTGAATTGTGAGGAAGTCTCAGGCGGGAGCCCCCTCCCTATGGGGCCCGCAGATCATGTTACTAATCCGAGCGGGTCATCGGTTCTTGTAACTGTCGTCACTTTTGGGCTCCTCAGGTCAGAATTTGGAGGAAGTATCAAGCGGGAGCCTCGTCTGTGAGTGAATTGCGAGGAAGTCTCAGGCGGGAGCCCCCTCCCTATGGGGCCCGCAGATCATGTTACTAATCCGAGCGGGTCATCGGATTCGTGTAACGTCGTCACTTTTGGGCCCTCAGGTCAGAATTTGGAGGAAGTATCAAGCGGGAGCCTCGTCTGTGAGTGAATTGCGAGGAAGTCTCAGGCGGGAGCCCCCTCCCTATGGGGCCCGCAGATCATGTTACTAATCCGAGCGGGTCATCGGATTCCTGTAACTGTCGTCACTTTTGGGCTCCTCAGGTCTGAATTTGGAAGAAGAAGTATCAAGCGGGACCTTCGTCTGTGAGTGAATTGTGAGGACGCGTCAGGCGGGAGCCCCCTCTCTATGGGGCCCGCAGATCATGTTATTAATCCGAGCGGGTCATCGGATTCGTGTACCTGTCGTCACTTTTGGGCTCCTCAGGTCAGAATTTGGAGGAAGTATCAAGCGGGAGCCTCGTCTGTGAGTGAATTGTGAGGAAGCCTCAGGCGGGAGCCCCCTCCCTATGGGGCCCGCAGATCATGTTACTAATCCGAGCGGGTCATCGGATTCCTGTAACTGTCGTCATTTTTGGGCTCCTCAGGTCAGAATTTGGAGGAAGTATCAAGCGGGAGCCTCGTCTGTGAGTGAATTGCGAGGAAGTCTCAGGCGGGAACCCCCTCCGTATGGGGCCCGCAGATCATGTTATTAATCCGAGCGGGTCATCGGATTCTTGTAATTGTCTTCACTTTTGGGATCCTCAGGTCTGAATTTGGAGGAAGTATCAAGCGGGAACCTCGTCTGTGAGTGAATTGTGAGGAAGTCTCAAGCGGGAGCCTCCCCTCCCTATGGGGCCCGCAGATCATGTTATTAATCCAAGCGGGTCATCGGATTCCTGTAACTGTCGTCACATTTGGGCTCCTCAGGTATGAATTTGGAGGAAGTATCAGGCGGGAGCCTCGGTTGTTAGTGAATTGCGAGCAAGTCTCAGGCGGGAGCCCCCTCTCTATGGGGCCCGCAGATCATGTTATTAATCCGAGCGGGTCATCGGATTCGTGTACCCGTCGTCACTTTTGGGCTCCCCAGGTCTGAATTTGGAAGAAGTATCAAGCGGGACCTTCGTCTGTGAGTGAATTGTGAGGACGCGTCAGGCGGGAGCCTTCCTATGGGTCCCGCAGCTCACGTGGCTCCTCCGGGTCATCCTCCGGGGCGCGCTTCCGCTGGGTCGTCATGCGGCGCGTATCGGCTGGGACGCACGTCGTGCGCTTCCTCTGGGTCGTGTTCCGCACGAGGACGAGGAGGAGGAGGATTGCCAGGAAAAGGAGGAGGGATGATGCAGGACGAGACAGGAAAGCAGGAAGAGGAAGAGGCTGAGGGGAGGAAGGACGAGGAGGAAAAGGAGGAGGAGGAATGCCCGAGGAGGCCCCAGTAGGTCCCGGAAGGCCCAGAAGGCTCCAGGAGGCCCCAAGAGGCCCCAGGAGGCCCCAGGAGGGGGCAGGAGGCCTAAGGAGGAGGCAGGAGGAGGAGGAGGAGGAGGAGGGGGGGGGAGGAGGGGGGAGGAATATGGAAACGAGGAGGAGGAGGAGGAGGAGGAGGAGGAGGAGGAGGAGGAGGAGGAGGAGGAAGCGGATGAGGGAGAGGGAGAGGAGGAGGACAGGGGATGAGGAGGAGGAGGAGGAGAAGGGAGAGGGAGAGCAGGAGGAGGAGGCAGGAGGCAGGAGGGGCAGGGGGAATGGGGGGGAGGAAGCATAACGAGGGGGAGGGGGAGGAGGTGGAGGAGGCAAGAAGAGGAGGAAGAGGCAGGGGTTGAGGCAGGAGGAGGAGCAGACAGGAGGAGAACGAGGAGGCAAGAGTAGGTGGGAGAAGGGAAGGGGCAGGAGGATACCCCCATGCAAGCTAAAGAGATTATCATGTGGGGTCCTTCCGTCGGAGTAATTGAAGAGTAATCACAGAACCAGTTTTCTTGGGTATTACTATCAGTTATTGCTCTCATATTCCGTTTTATTGGAGCCACTACTATTGTTGTATCATCTGATTTTCACATTGTTTGAACAAGTTATTTGTATTAATTATGCTGTCGCTGCATCATGCAAGTTCATACGAAGAGATCGTCGAACAGTGAACCGACTGCCCAGGGCGGGGGGGCGGGTTCGGACTTTCCAGATGTTTTTGTTTTGTGGGGGGGGCTGTTCCGACTTGTCCAGGGTTCTCTCCAAGCGAGCGTCCACGACACGCGTCCTCTCTTACATTCGAAGCAGCGCAAGGCGAACGGCCGAACGATCCCGCCGCGATCTTGTTTTTGTCCGCGGCGCCGGCGTGTCGCAACGTCCCTTGCTGCAGACCCCCACCGCGAGGAGCCAGTCGCCCGGGTGGCCGAGGCGGCCGTTGCGGAGGGATCTGAGGGCGCCCTTCTCCAGCTCTTTGTCGCCGTCGCCGTCGTCATCATCTCTGTTATCGTCGTCGTCGTTGGAGATCGTCGTCGCCGTCGCCGTCGCCGTCGACGACGTCGTAGAAAGACGTCAGAGAAGAAAGAGGAGGACAGCAGGAGAGGGATGAGGGCAGGGGAGGGACGGGGAGGGGGGGGGAGGAGGAGGAAAGGCGAAGCACAGGAGGGGGACAGGGAGGGGTTAGGGTCAGTGGGTGGGGGGAGGGAGGAGGAGGAGGAGGAAGACGTGGAGGAGGAACATGAGGAGAAGGAAACGGAGAAGGAACAGGAGGAGGAGGAGAAGGAGGAAGAGGAGGAGGAGGAGGAGGACGGGGGGGAGGACGGGGGGAAGAGGGGAATGATGATGATGATGATGATGATGATGATGATGATGATGATGATGATGATGATGATGATGATGATGATGATGACGATGATGATGATGATGATGATGATGATGATGATGACGATGGTGATGGTGGTGGTGGTGGTGGTCGTGGTGATGATGGTGAAGGTGGTGGTGGTGATGATGATGTTTTTGATGATGATCATGATGATCATTCTAATGATGATTTATGATGATGATGATCATGATGATACTGATGATGATGATCATGTTGATGCTGATTATGCTGCTGCTGCTACTGATGATGATGATGATGATGCCGATGCTGATGATGCTGCTGATGCTGACGATGTTGACGCTGCTGATGCTGCTGATGCTGCTGATGATGATGATGAATATACTGCTGATGCTGCTAATGATGCTGAGTATGGTGGTGATGATGTTGATGATGCGAATGCTGACAATGATGTTGATGATGATGATGCTGCTTGTGATGATGATGCTGATGCTGATGCTGCTGATGATGATGATGCTGATGATGATGGTGATGATGCTGATGATAATGATGATGCTGCTGCTGATGATGATGGATGATGGTGATGATGACCATGATGATGATGATGATGATGATGATGATGATGATGATGGTCATGATGATGATGATGATGATGATGATGATGATGATGATGATGATGATGGTCATGATGGTGATGATGATGATGATGATGATGATGATGATGATGATGCTGAGGATGATTCTGATGATGATGATGCTGCTGATGATGATGGTGCTGATGATGATGATAATGATGATGATGATGCTGATGATGATGATGACGATGATGATGATGATGCTGGTGATAATGATGGTGCTTATGATTATGCTGCTGATGATGATGATGATGATGATGATGATGATGATGATGATGATGATGATGATGATGATGATGATGATGATGATGATGCTGATGATGCTGATGATGCTGATGATGAGGAAGTGGAGGAGGATGAGGAGGAATTGCCTCGGAATTGCCTGCCATCCACATGCGGTGGGTCAGTACTCACGGTAACCCCGGGGGCTCTGGGTACCAAACCCTTGGGGGGCGTCGGAGCGCAGCTTCGCGCCGAGCACGCCCCAGATCGCATTCAGCCGCAGCCTCGGAGACACGGCGGCCTGGATGCTGACCCCTACGTACGGATCAGCGCCAGGTTCTCGCGTCCTTTCTTTGTGGCCTCGCCGCGCTCACCCAGCAGCCAGCGGGGGTCGGTCGTGGCCGTGAAGCCGCACCGCGCGCAGAAGAACAAGCTATGGCGCGGCCACAGCTGCACTCGGTGCGACGCATCTGTGGGAGGGTCCGTGGAGCCAACTCATGCGCGCACATTTTCTCAGAGGTGTGCGGGCCTCTGTTTCACTACAGAGGGCTTGGGCGAGCATCGCTGAGGGGTCGAGGCCATCTTCAGGATACTCCACTGATGCTGGGAAAGCTGCACGCCGTCTCCCGCCGCTCGAAGGATGCCGGCAGGATGCGCCTCAGCCGCATCGCCGGCAGCCGTGCAAGAGGAGGCACCCGCCTCGGCGAGCAAGGCGCCCAGCACCGGCTGGCGACAGAGGGCACACGCCCAGTGGCGCCTCCTCCTCCTCCTCCTCCTCCTCCTGCCCGCACGAAGCAGTGACTGGAGGCACGGAGCGCCTGCTGGAGAGCCGGCGAGGGGGGAGATTTGGCGCTCGGTGGCCGCTCAGCGGTCCACGGAGCAGCCGCAGTCGCATCAATGAACGCCTGTCTGGCGCGCCTGCGCACTAAGGCGGCCGTGCAGTCCCAGGTGTCCGTCTGCGGGGCGCTGCCGTCGAGAGCCGCCTGCCGGGCGCGGCGAGAGACAGCGCTGGCGAGCTCGTGCCGTTGCCCTCCGCCAGGCGCCGCTCCCAAGCCAGGAGCGCGGGGGAAGTGGGGTCAAGGTGATTGGGGGCCCAGATGACCCTGACCCCGCCCTCGTGCGCCAGGAGAGCGGCCCTGGTCAGGCGCCACATGTCTGCTCTGGGGCCAGTGCCCCCCCCGCCCGTGCGATGGAGCCCTTGCCCACATCCTCGCACCAGCATAGCACAGTCGGTGGCGCAGAGCCGCGGCCCTGCGAAGGCGGCCAGGGCGAGCGCAGGGGCCCGCAGCTTGGGCCTCGGGGCCGTCTGGCTGCGGCCGTCGAGACCGCACGCTGCACCAGCAGGGCCGCCGGAGGCCACGCGGGGTGGGCTCCGCACCGACGCGACGCCTACGGACGTCGCTGCTAAGCTGCCCGCCCGAGCCGTCTCCCAAGACGACCACGCGGGAGTGAGGGCCTCGCCACGCACGGGCCGTGAAGTCGGCCTCGATCGGGCACTCCGCATCGACCCCATCCCGCCCCACGCTCCAAACCGTCGCACCACCCCGCCCATCCACTGACGAGGGAGTGGTGCGAGAGGAAGGGGGAATGCTACGGAGCCAGAGGGAAGGGAGCCGGTCCTGCCCAGCCATGGCCTGTGGGATGAGGAAGACCGAGTCAGAATAACCCGAACCCTGGTTGCAACGACAGTGCCATATCCGATGGAAAAGAGTCTCTGGGGCCTCTCCACAGCGTGGGCAAAGAGGGGAAGCGAGATATCCCGCGTCCAATTGCCTCTGCTGCGGCCACTGCCCCCTGCGACTATTGTGGTCAGCTGTCCTACTTCATCATACGGACCCGAACGGACCGCTCGACGAATCGTAAGACGGATCGGGATGACAGCAGCTCCTGCCGAAAGGCCTTCGCCAAAAAGATGAGACGCCGCCGCCGCCGAGAGGGAGGGGGAGAGGTCCTCGCGGAGGACCTCGAGGAGGTCCGAAACATCGAAAACATCCTCGCTCCTCTGCTCCTCGGGGGGCGGGTCGGGGAAGTGCCAGATCTCCCAGCTGTCGCCTACGGACGGGTCTGCGCCACTCAACGGCCGAGACAGGAAGCCAACCGAGGTCAAGGAGGGTGGCCTGGACAGCTCCAATGGGCCCCCCTCACCTTGCGCCATCTCTTGCTAGCGTCTCGGCCGATGCGCGCGCGCACCCGAGGCCACGAACGAGCACTGCGAGCGTGCAGGCTGGGAGCGCGCGTCCACGTGTCGAGCCGCGCCGTGACAGGCCGAATTCGCAACGAGGTCGCTGGATCCTTATCACCGAGCCACACAGGCAACGTAGCGGTGAGGCACCTACCAGGACCTTTCCCCGCCACCGCCGACGCGGCCTGCCGACGTAACGCGGTGATGGTGGAGGGGGGAGTGCCCATGACGGGGTGCCCATAAGAGGCTTGAGGAAGGGCCCCTTGGAGGAAGAGACTCTTCGAACTATCGCAAAGTTTGGCATGCTGGCGTAGGCGGAAAATCCTGAAAGCTCGACGCTGGCCCTTGGCCCTCCTAGCTCGTAGCTCCTGCGCCACTCGTCTGGCGCCTGCTGCAGTATCGCGCCCGAGGTCAACAGCGCACTGGGCTCGGGGAGAAGGAAGGCCGACCTCCTTCAGATCTCTGTCGAGGCGGCGGCCTAGAGAATGCGGGGCTGTGATCAACTTCGTCTTGTCCGAAGTCGGCGGCCCCGCGCAGGCCAGCGAAGATGCCAACTGGGCGCCCGCGGCTCGCAACTGCTGTCTGACAGACGACTCGGCGCCCTCGCTGCGGACGACTGTGTCGTCGACGAACGTCCAAAAGCCCACTGGTGGAGCTTGCGGCGAGTTGGCCTTGGCATGCACTTCCTGCAAGACCAGGCCGGGGAACGCGTTCGCAAGCTTCGCTCCGTGCGCCGACCCCGCAACTATAGATCGCCCAGGGAAAGATAATATCGTTGCAATTAGTCATGAGTTTGAGCACCCGAGGCGCCAGGAAAAGCTGAACCTCCACAGTTGGGTCACCACAGGCGGGAAAAATGGGCCACGGGGGCTCCATCAAACACAGCGAACTGACATTGTCATACACTTTTTCAATGTTTAACAGAGCAGTCGCCGACGGGAAGCCTAGAGACACCGAGGACTCGTCCATCGCCGCTCGGATCATGGCCACCCTGAGGGCGCTACTCTTTCTCGCAGCCGTATCCCAAGACTCACCGAGCTCCTCTGGCCAGCGATTTGTGATGGCCGCCCTCGCCCGCGACCAGGTGCCCGCGGTGGTTGGCAGGAGGCCGATCGCAAGATCGCCTCCCGTGGCCTTCGGGATCGCGAAGCATGCAGTGAGCAGAAGCTGGCGAGGCCAGCTGCCGAGGCGCTCCGCGGCGTCGAGCACATCCACGAAGCCCTGGCGCCCCTGCCGCGGGAGCCTCTGGATGTCCATCGGCGAGAGGGCGTCGACTCCACGGGGCTTGGGGCTCGAGAGGCGGCCGACGACTCTGTCCACCTGCTCCGTCTCCAGCGGCTCAAGCGGCTGCCGCTGCGCCTCCCGCCGGGGTCGCTGCGCGCCCTGGAGGAGGTCTGGGCGCGACGCAGCTGGGTCCTGCCAGCGCGGCCCCCAGCTCTCGGCCTTCTCCGCCAGGAGGACCGCACGTGAGGCGACGGCATCGGGCACGACCGACTCAGCCTTGACGCGACGGTGCGCTGCACCAGGGCGGAGCTGCCAGCTGTCCTGGGCCCGCCGCGCAAAAGGCCTGCCCAGCG